TCTTTTTATAGCATTTTTTCCCCCAGAGCTGAGGCTTCCACTGAGTTAAATCCCCAGCCCCATAGTGTTCTTTCTAATGGCTGTGTACAACATTGTATGCGTATAGGTACCACATTTTTTGGATCCACTAACCTATTGTAGGGCATCTAGGCTGTTTGACAACTTGGCTATTATGAATAATGCAGCAAGAACATGAATGTACAACTGTCTCTTTATGGTATCCTGTCTTGTGGTGTTCTGGGTAGATGCCCAGGAGTGGTATGGCTGGGTTGTAGGGAATTTCTATGTTTAGTTTTTTGAGGATCCTCCAGAGTGCTGTCCAGAGTGGTTGTACTAGTTTACATTCCCAAAAGTGCAATAGGATTCCTTTTCCCCCACATCCCTGCCAACATTTGTTGTTTGATTTCATAATGTGGGCCAGTCTTACTGGGGTGAAACAGAATCTCAGTGTTGTTTTGATGTTGAGAATTTCCTCATATGTTTCTTTGCCATTCTTACCTCTTCTGAGAAGTCTCACCTTACCTTTTTTTTTAAATCCATTTAGTGATTAGTTTATTAGTTTGGGGAAGGGTTAATTTCTTGTATAATTTTGGATGGTAGGCCTTTGTCTCATATATTGCTGGTAGAGGACTTCTCTGTCTGTTGGCTGCCTTTCTAGTTTAGTAACTACGTCCTTTGCTGTGTAGAAACCTTTTCATTTTGATGTAATCCCATTTGTCAAGTCTCTCTCCTATCTGCTATGTCCAGGGACTTTTTCAAAAAGTTTCTGCCTCTGCCTAGGAGTTCTAGTGTTTCTCCTAATTAAGTGGGAGTATTTTTAACTTGAGAAATGGCAATTCAAATTCATGATTATTTTCTAACGAAAACTGGTTCCAAGATTATATCACCACTTGGTGGAGCTCTTTTATAAGTAAATGTGTTGTTAAAAAAGTACATGTAAGTTGTCAGTAGAGGATATCATTAGTGTGCTGAATGATAGCATAAGTAGCCTCTTTACTTATTGATTGTAGATTTTAATTTAAATAGCAATACATAGGAAATTAAAGTTTTGATATTGTAAAGATTTTTTAACCAGAATTATTACAATTCGTATAACCTGCCACATACAAATTTGGCATTTTACTGACCTTTCTCAATTGTAGCTAATTGAGAAAATATATCTAGATTAATGAAGGAATGAAAACTATTCATAACCTTACCAATTGTAGAGATAATCACTAAAATTTTATGCATATATTTGAACTTTTCTTCACCTTTTTTGAGTTCTTACAGAATTTGAATCAACATATGCAAGTAATTTTATATTCTGTGCTTTTTGCCCTTCAACATTATATCTTGGGTATTTCCCCATGTCCTTATAAAATACTCGTTGAAATGTTGTAGGGCTTTTATATTATTCCATGATATAGCTCCTGTTTTAAGATACTTAAGTGTTGCTTTTGCTATTATAATTCTTTGAACACCTTTTAGATAAGTCTTAGTTCTCCAATATTTTTATTCAATAAATTCTTAGATATAAAAACTGAACTTGGAAGCATTTTGATACACACTAATGAAAATCAATTGATGACCAAGTTTCAGCATTTTCAAAAGTTTGTTGAAAAAATATTTGTTTTGCAAAATGTGTATTCTTTGCTTTTTCCTCTAAGTTTTACTCTGAATTGATTTTGTTTCAACAGTTTTTAAATTGCTATTCTGAACTTCTTTTATCTTCAAGAAAACTTATCTTTGAAAACTGAGAGAACCTGAGTAGCCTGGTCTGATATCTGTATAGCAAAAGGGATGTGTGTTCGCTATGTGCAGTATTATGTTCTGGGAGATTAACATATCAACTTACAGATTATAGGTTGTAAATCACCATTGGAAAATAAGGCCTGGAATGTAACAGAGTAGTCAAGTTGTGTGTTCAGTGTGTGATATTGTTAAAAAAAAACTTCCTCTCTTTAAAATAGGATTTTTAAGAAAACGAAAACAAGCCATATCTGAAATAAAGGCCATACTTTGCTCAAAAGAAAGTTCCTCAGGTCTTTAAAAATCAGAAACTAGTTGAGTACTGTTGGCTCACACCTGTAATCCTCGCTACTCAGGAGACTGAGATCTGAGGATCATGGTTCAAAGCCAGCCTGGGGAGGGAAAATACTTGAGACTATCTCCAATTAACCACTAGAAAATCGGAAATATTGCTGTGTCTGTGAGTGATGATGCACTCAGGGACAACACCCAGACCCGGAGTTCAGGTCCCATGACTGACAAAAAAAAATATCAGAGACTATAGAACATTTCATTCAGGAATTTTGTATCAAATGATCTTGATTTTGTACAGTATTGTGTGAACTATATTTGAATAAAACTTGGTGTTTTAGGGTTGGAGATACAGCTAAGTGGTAGAGTAGTTGCCTATCATGTGAGGGCCTGGCTTCACTCCCCAGAATCAAACACATAATTTATTTTTATGTTTAAAAAAGTGGTTAAACAACATAAGCTAAATTTTAGCTACTTTAGTTTTTTCATCTGTTAGCCTTTAAGAAAAGAAAGATGAAAGGAATGATGAAAAAAAAAGGAAGGTAGGAAGAAAAGGAGTTGCTATAAGCAGGCACGTTGAGAATATTTTTATTCAACAGATGATAGTTAGCAAAGGATAGAGAAGCAAACAAAAAACAATAAGAAGTAAGCATGGCCGGGCGCTGGTGGCTCATTCCTGTAATCATAGCTACTCAGGAGGCTGAGATCTGAAAATCATGGTTCAAAGCCAGGCCAGGCAGGAAAGTCCATGAGACTCTTACCTCCAATTAACCACCAGAAAACCAGAAGTGGCGCTGTGGCTCAAGTGGTAGAGCACACACCTTGAGCCAAAGAGCTCAGGGACAGTGCCCAGGCACAAGTTCAAGCCCCAAGACCAACAAAAAAAAAAAAAAGAAGTAAACATAAAAATTCAAAAAAAACATGGATCTTGATTTTAATTTTTCCCATGAAATTGACTTTATTAATAAAAATATATACACAAAAGTTGATGCTCCTCATTCTATTAAAATACTCAAAAGTACATACTTGATAATCATAATAGTGAATCAGTATATACTTTTTTTTGGTTGTTGGTTATGGCGCTTGAACTCTGGGCCTGGGAGCTGTCCTTCAGCTCTTCAGCTCAAGTTGAGTGCTCTACCACTTGAGCCACAACGCCACTTTCAGTTTTCTGAGAGGTTTATTGGAGAAGAGAGTCTCATGGGCTTTCCTGCCGGGGCTGGCTTTGAGCCCTGATCCTCAGATCTCAGCCTCCTAAGTAGCTAGGATTACAGGCCATCAGTGCCTAGTTCAGTGTATACTTTGTATGTTCAATTACCAAAATAAAAGTATACAACATAGTTTCAAAGCCAAATTGATTAAGGTACATTTGCACGCAATAAAATATATCAGTTGAACTGGTATGTACTTTAAAATTACATTCCATTATATGGATATGCAACTATTTCTGTTTTGGGAAAATTGAGTTGTTGCTATTTTGTGGCTACTATGAATGAAGTTGCCATGAACATTCATGTATAATGTTTACTTTCTCCTGGACATAAATATCGGAGTAGAATTGCTAAGTGTTTAAAGAAGGCATATAAGAACAGGGCTGGGAAGGTGGCTCAGTGGTAGAGTGCTTGCCTTGCATGCCTGAGGCCCTGGGTTCGATTCCTTAACACCATATAAGCAAAAAGAAAGCCGTAAGTGGGGGCTGAGAAGGTGGCTCAGTGGTAGAGTGCTTGCCTTGCATGTGGGCTGGGAAGTTGGCTCAGTGGTAGAGCGCTTACCTTGCATGCATGAGGCCCTGGGTTCGATTCCTCAGCACCACATAAGCAGAAAAAGCCAGAAGTGGTGCTGTGGCTCAAGTGGTAGAGCACTAGCCTTGAGCTGAAGAGCTGAAGAGCCCAGAGTTCAGGCTCTACAACCGGCAAAACAAAAAAAAAAAAGTATATAAGAACAAAATTATACCAAATTTTATTTTTCCAAAATGGTCTTAATGTTTTGTATTTTAATCATTAGTGTGCCAGTGATTCATCTATCTACATCTTTACTAACCTTGATATTCTATCTTTTTACTTTTAGTCATTTTAGGATGTATGTAGTTGTAAATTTTAAAATAATCATATTGTAAGTGGTTAAAATTAAGGAAAAGTTTGGAGTTGGATGTTAAACTTCTCATCTAAATTTTGATAATTTAGAAAATGTCTTTTATTCTGTACCTAGTATATAATTGAGATAATATAAAATAACGTAAAATTGCATTGCCTGCTTTTCTCAGTTCTATTATTGTCTTCAAGAAAGAGTAAGTAAATGGTTAAGTTTACTAGACCATTTTTTTTTCAAAATCCGTATATATTTAGGAAGTATTATTTATTGTCAGGAGGAAAATAATGTCAGATGCAAACATTCTAATAATAGTAATAGTGATCACCCATTGAGTACTAAATATGTTCCAGGCACTGTGCCAAATGGTTTAAATATAATCTAGTTCTTATAAAATGAGCTAGATCTTATTTCCATTTTACAAGTAAGACAGTTGTGGAATTGAAACATGAAGTTACACAAGGTTTGAAAATATTTGGGTGAACAAAATGATAAAAGAATTAATGCATTAGAAAATTAGAGAAAAGGAAGGACTATGAAATAAGGAGACTTAGTTTTCAATTTATAAATGATTCAAATCGTTTAACTCGACTTTGATGACATTGGGTTTTTTAAAAATAACTATTTCAAAGAATTGACTCTTAAAGTTTCCACAGGAAGTTGTGATTTAGCCTTCTTAATATCTTGTAAATTTTTTTGCCTTATAAATCTAAAATTGAGTGTTTGTTATGCTAATGTAGAATGAAATATTTTCAAATTATATCATTGTAAGGATTTAAAAACACATCTTGTTATGCCAGATTAAAAAAAGATAACATATAATAAAGTTTAAACACAGTATCCAATGTATGAATGATTAAATAAAGTACCTTTTTTGTTGTTGTTCCCAGGAAGGTTACATTCAAAAGAAAAAGGAGTTTTGGGGAATCTGTATTTTTATTGCTGCAGTTGACCTAGATGAGATGCCGTTTACTTTTACTGAGCTACAGAAAAACATAGAAACCAGGTAAAGTTTCTTACATAAATTTTACCTCTGCTACTAAAAAAAACTCTTTCATATCTGGACTTTCCTTTTGTTGAGTTTAGAAATTAATTGTGTCTCTTTTTAAACTGGCAAATTTAATATAATTTATGTTTTATTTTAACAAGCTAAATTGTTAGATTTTATAATACTTTTTCTTACTATAACTAAAATGTGGAAACAAAGCCCCATATATTCATAAATATATGAAAATAAAATAAAAACTGAGTTAATAGAGTCAGTATCTATATCTCAACAAATAACAACTCCCTCCTCGTTTCTTCCTTCCTTTCTTCTCTCCTTTTCTTAAGTTACACTAGAAAAAGAAAACTTGATTATAACAATCGAGTTTTTTTGGTAATCTCAAGACAGATGACAATTACCTCATGAAAATATAAATTGAGAGTGTTTCTTTAATAAATGCTATTCTTAAGCTTGTTTCTTTTCTCTAGACTCTGCACAATTATTTCATATTCTCTTGTAGTCAACATCCTGATCTTCTCCATCTTTTGCCATTTCTATTTCTTTCTTTTCCACATAGCTTATCATGACAGCCTTTATCCATTCTATGTAGTGTATGTAATGGGAATCCTTAATAAGTTTGTTTTTTTGTTTAAGTGAGGAGAGATTCTGTGCCAGTTGGTGATTTTTTTTTCTTTTTTTAGACTTGGTCTCACTGTTTTTCAGTTAAGTCTTGAATTCCCAAACTCAAGTGACCCTCTTTCACATCAGCATTCCAAATCCTGGGACCACAGCATGAACCATTTACTTGCCTTAGTGGAAGCTTTTAGTTGTTGTTGGATAGCTCTTAAATGGGTTAAGAAACTACTATGCTTTAGTTAGCTGCTTTAACATAATTCTTTTTTTGTGTGTGCTAGTCTTAGGGCTTGAACTTAAGAGTCTGGGTGCTCTCCTTGAGCTTTTGTGCTTAAAGCTAGTGCTCAACCACTTCAGTCATGACTTACCTTTCCACTTTTTAGTAGTTAATTGGAGGTAAGAGTCTCTTTGGCTTTCCTGCCAAGGCTGGTTTTTGAACCTCTCTCCTAAAATCTCATCCTCCTGAGTAGCTAGGATTACAGGTGTGAGCCACTGGTACCTAGTAGTATAATTCTTCATACAAACTTGATTAGAAATTAGCATATGATAAGCAATTGATTATTATTTCCTTTAGTGCCCTATTGGAAAATGTATGAATGGATGTTTCAAAAATTAGTTTTTTTTTATTGTAATTAAGTGATTACATAAATTTCACAAATTTCACAGTATTGTGGGATAGTGATATTTAAAGTCACAAACATATTCTAACCTTCACGAGGCAAATTGTCATTATCGTAGTCTAAATGTTTGAGCTTTGACAATACAACTATTTCTTCCACATTGGGTTAGGTATGTACATTTCTTTCCTTTTGCTTAGCATTACATGGTACCCTATTAATGTACAATGCTTTATGTATCAGTTAAAATAAATTTAATTGCTGGGCACCCATAGCTTCTGCCTGTAATCCTAGTTATTAAGGAGTTTGAGATCTAAGGATCATAGTTCAAAGCCAGCCTGGGCAGGAAAGTCCCAGAGACTCTTATCTCCAATTAACAATGTTGGAAGTGGAGTTGTGGCTCAAATGGTAGAGTGTTAGCCTTGAGCAGAAAAGTTCAGGGATAATGCCCAGGCCATGAGTTCAAGCCCCAGCACCAGCACATTCATACAAATTTTAGTTTAAAATCCATACAGTTAAATTTAAAAATAAGTATACATATGTGTCCATGATCCTTTTTTCTGTATTTTCAATCATAAAAGAGTTATTTGATATAGGAAATAGATATTGGGGCATAGGTTAAAAGCTAGTTTTCTTCCTCAGAATCTAGGAGAATGGGAAAAAATTATTCTTTCTAAAGAACATAATAGTAATTTGATATAGAGCTGGTAATCTTTTTACCTGAAATGTCTATGATTTGAAAATGAACTAAAGGAAATGTTAAAAGCTCCACTTTTTCTGTTTTTTTTTTCCTTTGTAGTGTCTATAAATTCTTTGACTTACTAAAAGAAATTGATACCAGTACCAAAGTTGATAATGCTATGTCAAGACTGATGAAGAAGTATAATGTATTGTGTGCACTCTACAGCAAATTAGAAAGGTGAAGTAAAAATTTTATTAGGATTATACTTTGATTTTTTATGTCATTGTTTAGTTAATGTTGGATTGTTATATATTGAATAAGGATATTATTATTCATTAGTCTTGTCCCATTTGCTGTTGATTTTTATTAATTCTTAGATTTTTATATAGTCATAAACATCTGAATATTCAAAATTAACTGGTTTTCTATCCTTTCACATCTCATTTGTTTCCTTAGACTTTAAGTTTAGTACCCAGCTTAGCCTTACATACTTGGATACTTGGAGACTCTTCGTTATGAATAGTATTCTAGACTTTAACTTCTTCCCTTGGTGTTACCTAGTTTAGAAAGAAACAATATTGACTGTAGGAGGCATATGACCTGTGTTACTTAATTATAATGTGTGCTTCCAGTGGTAATCTAAAAGAAATGGGACCATTACTGTTCAACTGGGAGAAGAATAAGTAAGCTTGAATTATATATTTTTCATACAGTTTTCATTCAAACTTTTTTTTTCTTTTTTTTTTTTTGTTCCAGTCATAGAGCCTGAACTCTGGGCCTGGGCGCTGTCCCTCAGCTCTTCAGCTCAAGGCTTGCGCTCTACCACTTGAGCCACAGCACCACTTCCGGCTTTTTTCTTTTTGCTTATGTGGTGCTGAGGAATCGATCCCAGGGCCTCATGCATGCAAGGCAAGCACTCTACCACTGAGCCACCTTCCCAGCCCCTCATTCAAACTTTTGTCTCCTCAAGCATTGTAGTCCCTAACAGGGCATGTGTCTGTTATGTTTGACCATTTTACTTGAGTAAGAAAGTTAATGTTTTAACTAAATAAGCAATTGTGTAATAAGGTGGTAGAGATCTAAGTATTGTAGTTTGAAGCCAGCTCTGGCAGGGAAGCCCATTGGCTTTTATCTCCGATCAGTCACCTCATACTAAAATAAAACAGAACAAAAACCCACTGGAAGTGCTGCTGTGGCTCAAGTGGTAGAATGCTAGCCTTAAGCACAAAAGCTCAGGGACAGTGCCCTGGCCCTGAGTTCAAGCTCCAAGACCAGCATAAAAAAGTAATAGAGGAGGGTGATTTTGTGTGCATGTATGGAAATAACATAATACACTGCCCTTTGTATAATTAATATATACTAATAATTTTTTAAAAGAATAAAAATGTAGAATAATCTAAGTAGGTAGTTGTAGGCTTTCCAATATACTTGGTTTAGGTAGTTTGCTCTCTATTTTTAGAAAAAAATAGATGGGTTAGGTAGTTTGCTCTCTACGTCTTCTAAAAATAGAGAACATGTATCAGTAAACCAAATAACCCAACATTTTTCTTTTTATATTCAGATTGATATTAAGGTTTTATTATGTGTATTATGTATATTGATATTAAGGTTTTATTATGTATATGAAGAGCTGGGAAGATGGCTCAGTGATAGAGTGCTTGCCTTGCATTCATGAGGCCCTAGATTCAGTTCCTCAGCACTACATGAACAGAAAAAGTTGGAAGTGGTGCTATGGCTCAAGTGGTAGAACTCTCTCCTTGAGCTGAAGAGTTGAGAGACAGCACCCAGGCCCAGAGTTCAGGCCCCACTACTGACCAAAAAAAAAAGTGTATTTATTTTAAGGAGTATGAAATAGTTAATCTGTAAGGATGGGAAGAAGAAAGTTACAGAAGATGCTTAGATAACTGAAAAGTGAGATAAGTAAGGGAAGTGAAAATTGAATATTACAGTTATTGTATATTGAAATGTGAAAGCTTTAAAATACTGAAGTGCTTAGAGTCTTCCTACATCCTATTTCCTATGTTATCTTGAAGGGTAATATAAACATCAATGTTTCTAGACTAGAAATTAGGACATAAGACCAGAGTTCCCAAATAATTTTCTTCAATATAGTAGCATAGTCTGGTGTGATGACCTTCACTCTCCATTAAGTAGAGCTTAATGGAGAAGAGAGTGGAGTCTTTGAGTTAGATAGATTTAGACCCTAATCTGAACTCCAACGCATGCTGTGATCTTGGACAAGTGAGTTATCTAACTTCTGTGCTTAGTTTCTTAGTGTCTAAATTAAGTTGATAAAACCTGAGCATTAAGTTTTTAATATATTACAATAGATAAGGCATGGTTAGCCTAATGTATACATAATAAACATCCCTGAGAATCAAAATTTAAAAATCTGCTCAGTTTAGGAAATACTGCGTATTGTATTTCCAATGTACAGTGGAAACTCAAAAGTTTTTAGAAGTACAATAGAATAAATCTACTAGACTTGGTTGAATTCAGGATTTCCTAATCTTTTTTTGTTTTTTAATTTTTTATTATAAAGATACTGTACAGAGGGGTTACGATTACATGAGTAAGGTAATGAGTACATTTCCTGTCGAACATCGTTACCCCCTCATTTCCTAATCTTAATAGACTACTTACATATGTTCATGTGTGTTTACCATTAATTAAAATCTTACCAAAGTATTTTGTGGAAAATACTTTAAGAAACTTTATACTATCAGATGTTTTATTGCAAAGAAATTGATAAAATATAACAAGCATTAACTGTTGGTACTCAGATATTTAGACAATGAGTATACAAAATTATATTTACAGTAGTAAATAAATTACAAATAAATTATTTTTTATAAAAATAAATGCAGTAATGAATGTGGTGCCATATTGTAGAGTTTAAAAAGAGTAGAAATTGTTGGGCTGGGAAGGTGGCTCAGTAGTAGAGTGCTTGCCTTGTATGCATGAGGCCCTGGGTTCGAGTCCTCAGCAGCACATAGCAGAAAAAGCCAGAAGTGGCGCTGTGGCTTAAGTGGTAGAGCTCTCTCCTGAGCTGAAGAGCTGAGGGACAGCACCCAGGCCCAGAGTTTAGGCTCTATGACCGACAAAAAAAAAGAGAGAGAGAGTAGAAATTGTGTAGTGAGCATAGGCAAAGTATATACCTTAAACAAGTGAGAAGAGTAACTGTAGTTGTGATTTTGATCAGGAAATAAATGACAGGTCAGTGTGTGAATAGGGCTTAAGATTAATGGAAATTCAGCTAGTAAAAATTTAGCAACTGGGACCAAGCCTGCTAGGTGGAGGGATTAATTTGTCTACAAAGCCAAAGCAGTAGCTGGATGTACTTTGATTTTACTAATGGCTAAAAGGTGGATAGGGATTAGATTGGTAGTAAGCTTGGACTTTGCACTGCAGGCAAGGGAAAGTCATTGAATAATTTTAAGTTGGGGCTTAAAATAGATTTAGCCTTAAAAGACTACTCAGGCCTTTGTAAAAAGAATTAGAATTTTTATTGACTAGTCAAATGACAAAAATTTAGCCCTAACTCTATAGGCCTTGGATGAAAATGGTTTCTATTTGGTTTTCTGTTTGATTTGTACCTTCTGTTTTTTAAAAAAAGATTGTGGGGTTGGGAAGGTGGCTTAGTGGTAGAGTGCTTGCCTCACATGCATGAGGCCCTGGGTTTGATTCCTCAGCATCACATAAGCAGAAAAAGCCAGAAGTGGCACTGTGGCTCAAGTGGTAGAGTACTAACCTTGAGCTGAAGAGCTGAGGGACAGCACCCAGGCCCAGAGTTTAGGCCCCATGACCAGCCCAAAAAAAAAAAAAAAAAGAATTGTGATACTAATGCCTGTTTAAATGTAGATTTTTATTAATATATGGTTATTAAAGGTATTAGTCATGATGTGATCTGAGACTCTATAAACTGATCATCAATTATCTAACTTTAGACCAAATTATATTTCCATCTAAAAATTAGCATATAGAATCCAGTCCTTTTGTAATTAAATATTAGAGTGATATGAGATGTCATAAATTAGGGAAAGCTACTTTAAATTTGTTTCATAGTATTATACATGTTTTTGTTTTTAAAATGTATACTTAAAATAAGATGACTAGAAGTGTGATAAAATTGCTATGATTTCTGTTACAAAAGAATCCAATGTGTATCTACAAAATTAAGAAAATGAGGGAAGGGATGGATACGAGAGCTATGGATGACAATGTTGGAAGGGATGACATTGACCAAGATATATTGTATTTGTAAACTACTTTATTAAGTGGCAACTCCTTTGTACAACTACTTAAAGAGAATAAAAAAATAGAAAAATGACAAAAAACATTTCAGCCAGGGTGCCAGTGACTTACACCTATAATCCTAGCTACTCAAGAAGCTGAGATATAAGGGTTCAACGCTAGCCTAGGCAGAAAAATTCATGAGACACTTATCTCTTATTCACCACCAGAAAACCGGAAGTGGTGCTTAGGGACTTGTGGGTAGACCCAGAGTTAAAGCCCCATGACTGACAAAAAAAAGTATTTCTAAAGTAATCTTTTTTTGCTTTCTTATACATGTATATTTTTTCATTGTAGTACCTCATTTTATTTTATATTTTATTGTAAAGGTGATATACAGAGGGGTTACAGTTACATAAGTCAGGTAATGAGTACATGCCTTTTTTTTTTTTTTTTGTCGGTCGCGGGGCTTGAACTCTGGGCTTGGGCGCTGTCCCTCAGCTTTTCAGCTCAAGGTGAGTGCTCTATCCCTTGAGCCACATCACCACTTCCGGTTTTCTAGTGGTTTATTGGAAATAAGATTCTCATGGACTTTGCTGCCTGGGCTGGCTTTGAACCGTGATCCTCAGATCTCAGCCTCCTGAGTAACTAGGATTACAGGAGTAAGCCCAGCCTTGAGTACATTCCTTTTTGAACAGTGTCACTCCCTCCCTCATTTTCTCCCAGTGTTTTCCCTCCTGACCTCCCTTCCCCCAAGTTGTATAGTTAATTATCAACATAGCGTCTAGTGAGTGTCACTGCTGTATTGGTTCCCATGCTGGATTGTCAGCTTTGTCAAGCCTAATATACATAGACACCTCCTAGAAAGACCTGTTGGTTAGCTGGACATGTCTTGGCCATTTTTTTTTTGTATGCTACCAGGTGATCATAAAAGCATCGCACTTGTTATGTGTACCAAGTGTTTGATTTGATCTTTCTCTCTCTCTTTTTTTTCTTTTTTTGCCAGTCCTGCGGTTTGAACTCAGGGTCTGGGCACTGTCTCTGAGCTTCTTTTGCTCAAGGCTAGCACTCTCCCACTTGAACCACAGCACCATGTCCAGCTTTTTCTGCTTCTGTGGTACTAAAGAATCAAACCCAGGGCCTCATGCATGCTAGCTAGGCAAGCACTCTACCACTGAGCCACATTCCCAGCACTTGATCTCTTTTTTAAAAATTAGCCCATTAAAACTAAGGTTTGGGCTGGGCGCCAGTGGCTCACACCTGTAATCCTAACTACTTAGGAAGCTGAGATCTGAGGATTGCCATTCAAAGCCAACCCGGGCAGGAAAGTCCATGAGACTCTTATCTCCAATAAACCACCAGAAAACCAGAAGTGGTGCTGTAGCTCAAGTGGCAGAGCACTCGCCTTGAGCTGAAAAGCTGAGGGACAGCGCCCAGGCCAAGAGTTTAAGCCCCACTGTCTAGGAGTATTCAGTTTCCCACTGCTTGAATACCTCCTTCCAGACACTCTACACCTCCCATGCCTCAAGCTGAGGATGCTCTAGATTTTTCCCTGTTGGTCCATACCTCTATGTGCAGATCTTTCTGATCTGTGGTCTTGTCATTTGGCCTTATTAGTACTTAGTGTGAACTAAGCTTTTTACTTTTACAGAATACAAGTAAGTCACTATCCTCTGACCTGTTTCCTGGGGCCTTTTTTGTCTTGTATTAATAGAAGCTAAGGGATGGCCAGCCCTTTCGTGGTCTGGTTGAAGGGGCCTAGCATTTTTTTTTTCTGGTTGTGGGGCTTGAATCCAGGGCCTGGGTGCTATCCCTGAGCCTTTGAGCTTAAGACTAACTCTGTACCACTTGAGACATAGTGTCACTTCCGGATTTTGAGCAGTTAATTGGAGATAAGAGTCTCATGGGGACTTTTCTGCCTGAGCTGCCTTCAAAGGGTGATCCTCAGATCTCAGCTTCCTGAGTACCTAGGATTACAGGTGTGAGCCACTAGCACCCAGCTAGCATTTCTTTTTGAACTGAGAAGTAATTCAGTGTTGGAGATGGTCCTCTTTGAGTATCCAGTCCAAGGGCTGGGGGCATTCAAAATAGTAGACCTCCCCCATATTATTCCCTGCTACCAGAGGTTGTTCCCTTATTTATCAGCCTCTTGCTCCTTCCTCAAGAGCACACAGAACAGTATTTGTTTTAGAAGTCCCATTGGCACAGGTTTTCAGTGGCTTGGAATGCTCAATTACCTTTTCCTTGAGAAAGGATTGAGACACACTCCTGCTATGTTCCCTTTTTCTGAAGCTCCTGTCTGTGTTGGTGTGGAACCCAAACCCTAGAACCATGCTGTTGAGATGGGCACACTGTAAAACACCTAGGTAACTGTTAAGTTATGATGCAGACTTCAGGTTGTTCTGTATTAAAAAAAAAAAAAAAAGTTTTTATTATTAAAAGTAATCTTTTAAAAAGGCATATAGTAACAAAATTGTTTCTTTCTTTTAGAACATGTGAACTTATATATTTGACTCAACCCAGCAATTCGTAAGTATTTGAGAGCATCTTATATATTTTATTCCCCGCCCCTTTGGTCTTAGTGCTTAAACTTAGGTCCTTGGTGCTGTCTCTGAGCTGCTTCTACTCAAGGCTAGGTCTCTGCCACTTTGAGCCTCAGCTCCACTTCTACATTTTACTTTTTAAAAAATGACTTTACTATAATCTCAAATATATTGATAACTTTAGGATTAGTTTGGTTGATGATAACATGTTATTTTATAAGATAAAGTGATGAAATCCAATGTAGATTATTTATTTTATAAAGAAATATATCCCTTATACTGCAAAGGAGAAGTAACGAGGGAGAAACTGATTCAGTACAAAATACCATCTACTCTGGAAAAGTATTAATTCATCGATTAAATCTTTATTATGAGTCTGTCACAGGCATTTTATTTTATTTTAATTTAGTTACTTTTTTCCAGAGCTGAGGACTGAACTCAGAGCCTTGCGCTTGCCAGGCAGGCGCTCTTCTGCTGAGCTAAACCCCTAGCCCCTGCATTTTATTAATATATGACTTAGAGCACAATTTTTGTGTAAGAACAAAATTTCTATACTAAAATTTCCAAATACTAAAATTTCCAAATAATTTTAATGTATAATACTTGAATAACACACCCATGTATCACTCCAGAGTTTTTCTTTTGAAACAGAATGAGCACTAGAGACTTTGTACCCCAATGAAATAGTGGTATGGAAATTTTTGATTGATATAGAGTGCAGTGGCTCAAGCTTATACTCCTAGCTACTTTGGGGGCAGAGATTGGGGAGATCAGTTTGAGGCTAGACTCCCATCTCATTTAGTGGCTATGTTAAATGACCTCTTATCCCAACGTGGGGGAAGCACAACAGCTGGGCATTGTGGTATGTACCTAGAATCTGTTATGACATGAGGAAGCACGAGCAGGAGAAGTACAGCCCAGGCTGGCACAGGCATAAATTGAGATACAACTTTGAATATAACCAGTGCAAAAATGGATTGGGAGTATGGTTAGGGATAGAGCACCTTCCTGGCAAGTGCAAATCCCTGAGTTCAATCCCTAATGCTACAAGAGACAGAGACAGAGACACAGAGAGATTTCTGTAAGAGAAAATTGTATAGTAATTAAATGATATGCATTTATTTTAACAAATAAATGTCTGTGGAAAACTTACCCAATACAAAGTGTTAAATTGACAAGCCAGAGCCATTTAAACCTTTATGTGCCTGCTTAAGTGTTGATATTAATTAGAAAATAAAGTGCAAATAAGTATTAAGATAATTTGAAACCAGTTACAGCATACCTTGATCTTATATTTTTAGACTGCAATTAGCTATTCAGTATATATATATACATATATATATATATGTATATATATATACAAACATATATATATATTTTTTTTTTCTCTCTCTCTCATGGGCCTTAAACTCAGGGCCTGGGCATTGTCTGTGAACTCTTGCTCAGGGCTCCTCCAGTTCTGGTTTTCCGGTGGTTAATTGGAGATAAGAGTCTCACTGAGTTTTCTGCCCTAGCTAGCTTGAGCCTTGATTCTCAGATCTCAGCCTCCTGAATAGCTAGGATTACAGGCATAAGCTACCAGTGCCTGGCAGCTATTTAGTATATTCTATGTGAAATATATTCTGTTCTGTATAGTAAATACAACATTGTGGTAGAAACACAAAGTGAATTGAAATAAATTGAGTTCAAGTGTAGTTTGTGCACTTAAAATGAACTGAATTCTAAAAAAAAAATAAAAAAAAAATAAAATGAACTGAATTCTAATATGTGTTCAACTCAGACCTAATTTAAAACAAAACAAAATACCCAAAAGGTATAGTTGGAAAATTTTGTCAGTGATGAATTTTTCTTTTATTTTTACTAGGTTATCTACTGAGATAAGTTCTCTATTGGTTCTGAAAGTTTCTTGGATTACATTTTTACTAGCCAAAGGTAAATTATTATGTTCATTATATGCAAATGTTTCAAATGTTTTAATTAAATTATTCTTTTGACTGATTGTACATTTTTTTATTTAATTCATATATCCACTGCATTTTTTACCTGGCGATTGTCTGTTAGAAATGTCTAATTTTGTTAATCTTGGAAGTGTTTTGTTTTATGTCTATCTATCCTTCCTTCTTTTGATTTTTTTTTTCAATGTTGGTGATGGAATCAAGGCCCTCTGCATACTTCCCCCCTTCCCCTAAGATACATTCTCAGTAGTCTTTTTTTTTTTTCTTTCTTTAGGAATAAAGATTTAATGTGTTTATAAAGATGATTTGCTTTTGATAAGTACTATAGCAAAATACAAGGATAATTATCTGAAATTTACACGGTAATAACTATCATTAAAATTATGGGATTCATATTTTATATGTATATGTGTGTGAATGTGTATATATACAGTCTGACAAAAATGGATAGAATAGGAATTAACAAATGTAATTTTCTAAAAATATTACTATCCTATATAGTGCTGTCTTTAGTGTGTAAGCATTAATTTTTCTAAAGAAAAATAGCAATAATTGCTTAAATTTAGTACGAATTTTGTTAGTTTAAGTAGTATTCTTTCTTAAAATGTTCTCTGAGGTGAGGAAGCACTATGAAAAAGCTGAGTCTAGCGTCTTTTTGTTTTTTAACTTGATATTTTGAGTTCAACCAATATATATTAAACTGCTTTGAAACAGAACGTTAGTATTCTTTCTTGTCTTGTAACCTTCCCTCTCCCTATTTTCCAATTAGTTATTTTACTATCATTTAGTTATCAAGTTAACATTTACATTCTAAAATAATAATAATTATACTTGCTTAGTCTCCAGTCTATATTTAAATCGTTTCTAAGTTTATCAGAACTCCTTTATTATAATGACTCCATTTCTGAGTTCTTTATTTTGACTCATTTTTTTCTGGCTATTTTTGTTGTTGTTGTACTCCCCCCAAAAAATCAAGATCGGGTTTAACATATTTAAATAGGAATAAAAATTATTGTTATAAAATTATAAATGAAGTATATTCTGAGAATTGTTGTACTCCCCCAACCCCCCCAACGTTGGCTATTTTTATCTTAGGTCTTTCTGTTTTGAGCTATTTTTGTAATGGTATTATTTGTTTCTGAGCTTTTTTCTTAGCTTATCTACCTCCTGCTTTTGTATAATTTGTGATCTGAGTAAGTAGCTCAGGCTAGCCTCGCATTTTCAATTCCCTGTCTTTGCTTCTGGATTTACAGATTGTAAGCAGGTTCTAACATGCCTGGTGAATTCTTTAAGTTCTTTTTTTTTTTTAAAGACTCTTTTCAATATTAGGTTCTTCATTTGAGTTTTTCCCATAAATATATATTTTCTTTTCTATTTTATTTTATTGTAAAGGTGATGTACAGAGGGGTTACAGTTATATAAGTAAGGTAATGAGTACATTTCTTGTCCAACAATGTAACCCTCCCTCTTTTCCTCCCAAATTCCTTGCTCCCCTATTCTCCTTTTGTAAAGTTCATTTCCAGCATAGTGTCTTGTGAGTATTACTGTTGAATTGGTTCATCCTTTGTCCTTTGTCTCACTATTTTGTTATTTGTGACTCTGTTTTCCTTTTCTGTGATGTATTTGTGTAATTGCTGTTCTTACCTGCTTTTTTGTTTTAAATCTTGCTGAGACTTTATGCAGCTGACCCTGACTTGATATTTTCTCTGAGGTAGTTTGAAGAGAATCTCTCTTCATCTATCTTCTACATAATCCATAACTTGTTTGTGTTTCCCAAAGAATATCAGTGTACAAACAGGCATTATTAATGTCTTTTTCTAGCCAGAAGGTAAAGGAGACTAGAGAATCATCTAGAGTAATGTAAGACTTTGTGGTTCTGAGTTTTTGTTAGAATAACCTTTATAATTCTTCTTTCTATAGTAGAATTGTGTCAGGATGAACTTTTATGAACATAATTAAAAAGTTGTATGTATTGTGCTTCAAAATCTTTTTCAAAACTAATCATTTTCAAAACTAATACATTATGTAGTTCATACCAAAAAAACTGGAAAAGTTTTTTTTCTTGGCACTACTGGTGTTTGAACTCAGGGACTCATGGTTGCTAGGCTGCTGTAATACTAATAAGCCATTCCTCTAGTTCTGGAAAAAAAGTTTTTCAGAAGCAAAACTTATATACAGAATTAACTACTCATACACAATTAATTATAATGTAAAGTGTAAAATGATTATCAAATAACTGAACACTGAGATGCCCAAACCCACAATTTTCTCTTGAGTTAAACATTTCATCTCTAACTTTCCTTAAAAATGTGAATCTTTATTTTCAGGGGAAGTATTGCAAATGGAAGATGACCTGGTAATCTCATTTCAGTTAATGCTGTGTGTGCTGGACTATTTTATCAAGCTCTCACCTCCTGCGTTACTCAAAGAGCCATATAGTAAGTACTTTAAATAATGTATGTCCCTTGTCCTTTGTCTTCAACATTTATTGAATATCTAGTATATTCAGTTTTATTCGCAAACTGAAAACGTCAAATACGGATTGTGCACTTGTGCTTGACAGCTTTCCATTACTGTAACAAGTATGGGTGATAATCATCTTATATAGAAAAAACAATTATTTTAGTTCATAGGTTTGAAGGTTCCAGTCCATGATAAATTTGGCCTGTTAAGCCTGTGGCAAGGTAGCACATTGTGGTGGAAATGCATGGTAGAACAAAACTGTTTACCATAGGGTGAAGGAATAAAAGACAAATAAAGAAGGAGTTATAGTCCTACTGTCCTTTGGGAAATAGGAAAGTTTTTCCAGTTGTAGAAAATCAAAGAATACCAACAAAAAAGATAGTATTTGAAAATGAGTATTGACCAGTAGTTAACACTGGGGGAAGGCATTGTATTGAAAAAATTGAATGAAAGTATTTCCCATAAATAAGAGTAAGAGGTAAGACAAAGATATCAATGGAACTGTGTGGAAAAATCATCCCATTCTACAGGGACAGCTTAATTACTGTTAGTGGTGTATGCTATAATAACTATGATTTTTTGTAAGTAAACTGTAAGTGATATTATGTTAGTGATGAGATGGGAAGGTATTTGATTAACAACTATTTCTAATATAATGAAATAGCGTTTTACAAAGATGGGTATATTCTTCTTAGACTAGAAGTTCTTCCTTTGGTAGCGTTGGTGGTAGGATATAAAAAATCACTTATTATACTACAGAAAAATGTAAATTTCCTGGAGCTAGATTCATTCCTTTCTCCTATAATGTTATTAATACATGTAGATGGAAAATCAAGCAATGAAGTCTCAAAGTGTTGTTGAAGAGGCTGAAAGACTGAAGCACAATTAATCTCTGATAACATTAAGTTAATGGAAAAATGTAGTCTTGAATAGAATTTTGCAAATTTTCATTTAGGAAACAACATACAAAGTAAAAGAAATGAATTTTAAATTCTAGAAAAAATAAATTTGCTTCACATTTTTTTCTAACTTTAAAATTTTTCCTTTTCTTTACTTCCACCTTTTTGGTGTTCTAATGTCAATAAGTTGATGTCATGTTTTTCTTTCAGTTAATATATTTTTTCTTTTGGATAATTCAGATCTGTACTTAATTCTTTAAGTACTATTTTGAATACAAACCAAGAGAAGATATTGAATTTATTGAGTATAGTGAATTTCAAATTTACTTTTGTGTGGAGAATTTTAAATGAATACAAAAGAAGACAGTGAGGACAGTAGTATATGTTTCCACATTCTTAACACTTAGCATCAACAGACAATGAATTGTCAGTCTGTAGCCCCATCTCCTGCCCAATTCCTCCAGCAGTATTTTCTTGAAGCATATCCTTAAATATGTTTTCATCCTTGTCTCTTCCACTGAATGTCTGTAAAGAAATTTTTAAAGCAAAATGGCAGTCATATCATATCTAAAAACTAGTTTTTATACTATATTTAGAAATTGAATTTATAAATATTTGCTCATTTATTTAAGGCTATAAGATGAAAGTAGTTTTTGCTCTTGCAAACTGAGTAGGATACACTTAGAATTAGTTTCTAAAGTGACTATTTCTCTGACTTCTGTATGTATCTATATGGATTTATAGGCATTGTAGTTCCTTTTGGACTATTTGGGGCAGGAAAACATAGGGATGGCAAAAGCTAATATCAAAATATAACTTACAATATGAATTCAGGGCTTGGGGAAGAGTGATTACCTAGAATGTGCAAAGGTCTCGGTTCTATCACTAGCACCCCACCTCCAAAAAAGTGAACAAATAAAAATAAAAGGATAGTAGATATTAAATAATTAAGTAAAATTGTTGTCTTTGTAATGATAAGTAAAAGAAATAAAACAATATCAATATTTTTCTGACTTTTCTGGTTAAAATGAGAATATCTCATTATTTTATACAGTGACCATATGTAGTTGTTCTTACCTAATTTACTATTTTTACAGAAACAGCGGTAATACCTACTAATGGTTCACCTCGAACACCCAGGCGAGGTCAGAACAGAAGTGCACGAGTAGCAAGACAACTAGAAAATGATACAAGAATTATTGAAGTTCTCTGCAAAGAACATGAATGTAATATAGATGAGGTAAATGTATGATACCTTTAGAACAGTTAAAGTAAATTTAGATATAAGTGCTAACAAAAAATACTTCTTTAACAAGGAGCATATTTTTTTTGCCTTTTTCCTCTTGACTAAGGCTTAAACTCATTACCATACTCTCTCTCTGCTGTTTACTCTACCACTTGAGCCATACCTCCACTTCTGGCCTTTACCTGGCTTTTTGTAAGTAAGAGTCAGATTTGTCTGCCTAGGTTGGCTTTGAATCTCATTTCTCAAATCTCAGACTCTTGAATAGTTAGGATTATAGGTATAGAACACTAGTTCCTGGAAGAAAGCTTATTTTCTTAAATTATTGTTTTTAACTGGTTGTACAAAGGAGTTGCCAATTAACAAGGAATTTTATGAACAGAATCTTGATTTCAACATTCTCACCCATCCTTCCCTATTAACCTCTCCCTCACTCTACTTAATTTTGTAGAATATACATTGGATTCTTGACTGAATTTTCCCCTTCTTCTTTTGTTCCCTTTCCCTTTGACCCCACCCCATCCCTTTTGAGTACCAACTGTCTGGTATTTTATTTTGCTGAACTTTGATTTTACCTTTCTAAGGAATTACACTATTTCAAATCTCCCTAGAATCTACCATATTTCAGTTATATTTGTATATACTTGCATACCACCCAAATATTTACTTACGAGTTTGTAAGCTAAATCTAACTTATTGGTAAAGTAGAAGGTAGAAAATGATATTAAATTACTCCCAAGCTTGGAAAAGAAAGTTAAATAAATGAAAGTTTTTAAAAATTCAGTAACCTATTACAAGTATAAAATAGCCAGTAGTATAATTGTAGGTTTTCTGACTATGATTTTTTTTTTCTTTTTTGGGATGGTCCTGGGGTTGAACTCAGGGTCTGGCTTTTTTGATCAAGGCCAACAGTTTATTATCTGGGCCATACTTCCACTTCTGGCCTTTTGGTGGTTAGTTAGAGAGAAGGTTCTCATGGACTTTCCTGCCTAGGTTGGCTTCTGACTCTGATCCTCTGATCTCAGCCTCCTAAGTAAGCAGCTAGGATTACAGCATGAGCCACTGACACCTGACTGGACTATGATTTTTTTCATTTCTGTCAATTAGGTGTACTTGGGTATCATTCCCTCTCCCATCCACCCCCTTCCCATTGTTCTTGAGGTTTTGTGTTCAAACTTTGAGCCACAGATCAACTTCCAATTTTTTTTTTTTTTTGGGTCCGGTCGTGGGCCCTGAACTCTGGGCCTGGGCACTGTCCCTCAGCTCTTCAGCTCAAGGCTAGCGCTCTACCTCTTGCGCCACAGCACCACTTCTGGCTTTTTTCTTTTTTCTTATGTGGTGCTGAGGAATTGAACCCAGGGCCTCAGGCATGCAAGGCAAGCATTCTACCACTGAGCCAACTTCCCAGCCCTCAACTTCCAATTTTTTGAGGTGGTTAATTGGAATTAAGAGTGTCATGGACTTTCCTGCCTGGGCTGGCTTTGAACTGCTGTCCTCAGATCTCAGCCTTCTGAGTAGTTAGGATTATAGCCACAACACCTTGCTACTTGGGGCTTTTATGTTTTTATTTCATTTTATTTTTGTGGCAGTCCTGTGGCTTAAATTCAGTATCTGGGCACTGTCCCTGAGCTTCTTTGGCTCCAGGATAATGCTCTAGCACTTGAGTCACAGCACCACTTCTGGCCTTTTCTGAATAGTTTATTGGAGAAAAGAGTCTCATGGACTTTTCTGCCACAGCTGGCTTTGAACTGCAATGTGAGCCACCATTACCTGGCTGGGGGGTTTATGTTGACATGTCCATATACTACACATACCACATACTTTGATCAGATTCACTCCTCTGTCTAACTGTAATTTTGAAAAATTTATATTATCTGTAGGGTACTTTTACATGAAACAATGCATATCCCACAAAACATTCTTATTTGGCTTGAAATAAATTACTGGGTATTTTGTGTGTAAATTATTTTCTTGCTTAAAAATTGACTTCCAGGGCTGGGAAGGTGGCTCAGTGGTAGAGCGCTTGCCTTGCATGCATGAGGCCTTGGGTTCGATTCCTCAGCACCACATAAGCAAAAAGAAAAAAGCCAGAAGTGGTGTTGTGGCTCAAGTGGTAGAGTGTTAGCCTTGAGCTGAAGAGCTGAGGGAAAGCGCCCAGGCCCAGAGTTCAGGCCCCACGACCGGACCTCCCCTCCCCCAAAAAATTGACTTCCTATTCCCTAAGCAGGTATCAGAAGATACATGTACAAAGTGGCTCAAAATATACTTTGGGGAGAAATCAGAGGCAGTGCAGAAGAGTTGTGGCTTTTGGTGGTAGACAAGTAGATTTTCATTCTAACTCTGTTACTTTCTACCTATACAGCTTTGGTCAACTTGCTTAATTTGTTTGAGTGCTTTTTTTTTTTTTTTGCTGGTCCTAGGGCTCGAGATCTGAGCACTGTCTCTGAGCCTCTCTGTGCTCAAGGCTACCCCACTGCCACTTGAGCCACAGCACCACTTCCAGCTTTTCTGAGTAGCTTATTGGAGATAAGAGTGTCATGGACTTTCTTGCCTGGGCTGGCTTTAAACTGTAATCCTCAGAGATCACCATACAGAGTAGATAGGATGACAGGTGTGAGCCACCAGTGCTGGCTTAGAGTGCTCTTTTAATCTTTTGTTGAATATGGAATATTGAGTTGGTTTCAGTGACTTCTCATAAATCATATTTCATGAACAGTCTCCACTTATCTCTATTTATGACTTGGAATTTGGTGCACATACATTAAAAAGTAAAAAGCAGATAATAGGAATAAGTTTCATTAATGAAAGTATACCATTAATCAAATGTGAATTATTACTTTATTCTTGTGTTAATGACAGAGATTAGACTTTAATTTGTTTTAAATTTTAATGATCATATTGTACATCTTTTTCAGGTTAAAAATGTTTATTTCAAAAATTTTATACCATTTATGAACTCCCTTGGAATTATAACTTCTAATGGACTTCCAGAGGTAATCTGAAAGAAAATTTAATTTAAAAAGTAATATGTTTTAAGACTTTGGGGAGGGAGGATAGTTTATATTTCTTTTTTCCTGGTATTGGGACTTGAACTCAGGGCTTCATTATCTTGTCTTTTTCACTCCTGGCTAACACCCATATTTGAGCCATGTTTCAAGTTCTGGCTTTTTGCTGGTTAAATGGAGATAAGAGTCTTATATTTGTCTATTCTGTACTGACTTTAAACTTTTATCCTCAAATCTTGGAGTCCTGAGTATATAGGATTATAGGTATGAGCTACCAGCAACTTGCTGTGTTCACATTAAGATCAATTTACTGTATATCAAACGTATATATACATATATTTTTTTGCCCAAAGAAAGTAATCTACCTAGGTATTGTAAAATCAAGTTTTGGATGATAAAATTTTCTTGGAATATATATTCAAATAAGCATCATTTTATGATTTGTACTAGAAATTGATCTGTACTGTTTCCAAAATTATAGTATTTTAAATTTCTAAATGCCACTATATATCTAAATATAGTACAACTAAACACACAAATTTGATTATAGAGCCATGCACAAAGTTCTTAGATACTTGGGAAGTTGAAATTGGGAAGGTCACAGTTCAAGGCCCACCTGTTTGTGAGACTATCTCAAAAGAAAATGCTGGACTAATGGTGGGCAACTGCCATCCTAGCTGCTGTGGGAAAAAATAGGAGATTGTAGGGTTAATTTATGGACCTTGGCAAAACTGAGTCCCTATCTGAAAATAATCAGTACAAAAAAGGACATAGAGGCATGACTCAGTGGTAGAGTACCTGCCTAGCAAGTGTGGGCAAGTAATTCAAAACCCCAGTATCATTAAACATTTTTTAAATTCTAATTTGCTTTACTAAGCTTTCTCAAACATAGGTTCTACAATTAATGCAATTAACATTATTGCATTATTGTGTTATATAATGTAGAATATCTTGGTTTTTTTTTTTGTTTGTTTTTGAACTCTGGGCCTGGGTGCTGTCCCTCAGTTCTTCAGCTCAAGGCTAGTGCCCTACCACTTGAGCAACAGTGCCACTTCTGGCTTTTTTCTGCTTATGTGGTGCTGAGGAATTGAACCCAGGGTCTCATGCATGCGAGGCAAGCACTCTACCACTGAGCCAACTTACAGCCAGAGTATCTCTTTGAGTGTCTTATTCAGCCAGGTGCCGGGGCTTATACCTGTAATCTTGGCTACTCAGGAAACTGAGATCTGAGATTATTTTTTAAAGCAAGCCCTAGGAAGAACATCCATGAGACTCTTATCTCTAGTTTATTTTAAAAAGAATCTGGAAGTGGAACTGTAGCTCAGGTGATATAGCCTTAAGCACAAAAGCTCACAGACAGCACCCAGGACCTGAGTTCAAACCCCAAGACCAAAACAAACAAAAAACAACCCAAACTGTGCTTAATAAAAATAATTTTGGTTGGAATGTATGTTATTGTATTGCAAGAATATTTGTGTTATTGGTATGCCATCCTTCTGTTTCTTTTCATATTTTGCTACAAATGTCTTTCTAGTGAGAACAAAATGACTAAGAATTTTAGGTGATATGGTGAATTGTGTGGTAAAATGGATGTTTTGCTGCATGATGAACAACTTCTCAGTGATGAAGCATATTTTATACATCCCTAATATTAGTCACCAAGACCAAATCATGAAATTAGGCAGCTGGATTGACGTTTCTGTGACCTGGCTTAGTAGCCAATTCTTGAATTCATTAATTTATTTACTAAATATTTGTTGAATATTTGTTATATGCTAGGCATTTGTGCTAGATACTGTGACACTGAGATTTAACTCTCAGTTATCCTTAAGGTGTCAGTGGGAGAGACAGTCAAATAAATAGAACATTACAAGAGTCTGCAAGAGTCTGATAGAAGTTATACACAGGGTTCTGTGTGGATCTGGGGTATATAGGTGTTTTTAAAAAGTGTTTGTAGGTGATGTGATTATTGAGCTGAGTAAGCCTTGTAAGAGATGCCATTGCTATGGGTTGGACTTTGTAAATTCAAAGGTGGAGTGATGTTTGATAATGTAGCCTATCTAGTGAATTCCAAGAAATTATTTAAGGTTGGGAGACAGGACAGAAAGAGTGGTAAGGTACGATTCTTGAGAAGTAATAAGGGACCTAGTGTTGTGTTAATGAATATTCTTACTATCTTAGGTACCAGACCTGTTTTCAACTCTAAAGAAGCTTAAATGCTTGCAGTGATGATTTTTTTCCCTTAGAATGTATTAAAATTGTAAAACAAATCTTGAGAAAATTTTTTACTTACCTTATTATGTCATATATAACTGCCAATCTATAGATGATTATTAGTGCCTAAGATAAGATAGGGACAGTGATTCAATCTAAACATGAAAAAACTGTCCTTGTATACTTAAGAAGGCAAACATACATTTAAATAAATTTCTGCCTCTCCTTTTAGACTGTAATTACATTGCATGTGAAATGTATAAAAATTCTTGAATGAAATCTGCTAATGTATGCTGAGAGATATAATTACACAAAAAGATAAGCTATGATTTTTTTTAAGGTTGAAAGTCTCTCTAAACGATATGAAGAAATTTATCTTAAAAATAAAGATCTTGATGCACGATTATTTTTGGATCATGATCAAACTCTTCAGACTGATCCTATAGACAGGTATTGAACATAATATACGTTTATTTATTGGTATGTCTTTTTTATAGAGTAAATGTGAGTAAATCAAATCTGTTTTATTGACTTTTAAATAATAATAATAATGTGCTGTAATAAAGAAGACAACAGTATTTTCAATAGGTAAAATGTATTAATAGAGATTTTATGTAAATTTAAGTAAATATAAATAATTTTGTGCAAGTTCCACCATTTATGTAAAGTACAACAATTATCTTTTTTATCTAGCTGACTATAGTAATTTTTTTTTTCTTTTTTGCTAGTCCTGGGGCTTGAACTTCGGGCCTAAACACTGTTCCCGAGGTCTTTTTGCTCAAGGCTAGCATTCTACCACTTGAGCCACAGTGCCACTTCGGCTTTTTTTCTGTGTGTGTGATACTGAGGAATCGGACCCAGAGCTTCATGGATGTTAGGCAAACACTCTACCACTAAGCCACATTCCCAGCCCTATAGTAATTTTTTAAATGTACATTTAAAGTGGTAGCGGTTGGGTGCTGGTGGCCCACACCTGTAATCTAGCTACTCAGGAGGCTAAGATTTTAGGATTGCCGTTCAAAGCCAACCCACGCAGGCAAGAGGAGACTCTTATCTCCAGTTAACCATCCCAAAACCCGAAAGTGGAGCTGTGACTCAAAGTGTTAAAGCACTAATATTGAGCAAAAGAACTCAGGGACAATGCCCAGGCCCTATGAGTTCAAGCCCTATGACTGACAGAAAAAAAAAAAAGAGAGAGAGAGAAAGAAAATGTTAGAGCAAATGCTTGTACCATCACATAAATGGTAATTAACTAAGGTTAAAACTTAAGAAAAATAAATAATTTTAAAATAAATATTTCTTCTCTTTTTCAAAAAAAGGAAATGATTAGTAGTTGGGCACTTGGTGGCTCGCTCCTGTAATCTTAACTCTTTAGGAGACAGGCCTGGAGTATGGTAATTGAAAGCAGCCTGGATAGAAAAGTTCATGAGACTCTATCTTCAGCTAACCAGCCTAAACCTGGTGTGGCTCAAGTAGTAGGGCACCCGCAGAGAGCAAGAAAGCCTGTGGAGAAGCTGAGTTCAAGCCCTAGTATTGGTAAAAAGAAAGTAGAAATGGTTGGATTAATTTGGAGACTCAAGTGGTAGTCTGTTTTTCTCCATCATTTTAATCTATTGCCTGCCTACCTCATTTAAAAAATTAAGAAAATATATACTCTGGGATTAACAGAAAGAATCCCAAAATTAGAACTGTTGACAGTTATTATTAAACAGTTTGTGACTGATCATAAGTAAGGTTAATTTTGTTTTTAGGAGGAAATCTTTCTATGTGAAATTGAAAGTACTACATTTAATTTTGAATAAAATACAGTAAAATATTTCTCTTTTTTTTTTGGGGGGTCGGCTGTGAGGCTTGAACTCTAATTTTAAGTAGAAATATATAACTTGAGCCTCAATGTTTAAAATTCTTAAAGTTTGATTAATACTACCAGCTACTACTACCAGTACTATTACCATTCAAAAACATTTGACTTTTTTTCCACATTTAAGAAAAATACTGAATGGTTGCTGTGCCTTTGTCATAAACCTATTGGAAAGAAACACATACTTAAGTAAAACAAGAAAAATTTAAGGAGCAGTTTAGTTAACTATTAGTTCTCCTACTGACTTACTATGTTGTATGATATATGAGACAACAGGAGGTATTATACGGTTTTGTTGTTGTTGTATGAATGACTTTGCTTATCATTTAGTTTTGAGATGCAGAGAACACCACGAAAATGTAACCCTGATGAAGAAGTGAATGTGATTCCTCCACATACTCCAGTTAGGTATGGATTTTCTTACTTGTAATTTTCATTGTAATTGTTTATTCAATGGCTTATAATGCTTCAGGTTTATCTATTTGTTTCATCTTGTATTTGTACATACATGTAATGTATTGAGAGATCTTTGTGTCCTTTATATGAGTTGCTTAGGTTACAGTTATCAGACCTAGATACGTCTGTTCAGAAGGATTATGTGTGATTCACCTTACTAAAGAAAAAATATTACATTTGATCTACATATTCTTAAGGGATTTGAACTTTTTTTTATTTAAGTAGTTGTACAAAGAAGTTCCCATTCTACAAAACAGTGTATGAGTACAAAGTGTCTGACAACATTGTCACCCATCTCTCTTAACCCATCCCTTCTCTCACTTTTTTTCTTTAATTGAGATTAGGTGATTACATAAATTTCACATATTTCACAGTATTGTAGAATAGTGATACTTAGAGTCACAAACACATTTTAACTTTCACAAGGCACATTGTCATTATCATGGTCTATAGTTTGTGAATTCTATGAGCTTTGACAATACAAGTTATTTTTCCACATCAGGTGATGTTTACATTTCTTTTCTTTTGCTTAGTGTAGGCTGTTCTCACTTATTCTGTTCCTCCTCCTGGCTTCCCTCTGTTGTGTGCATAAATCTACCATATATATGGTCCAGAACATGGAGTCATTTAGCAATGATATGACAAAATGGGTGGCTGTCCTTCGTTTCTTGAGTCCTGTTACTTTGTCATATCTTCTTGTTTTTTGTCTTTAGCATCCACATATCAGGGAGACCGTGTGTCATTTATCTCTTTGCTCTTGGCTTACTTTGCTCAAAATAATCTGCTCTAGTTCCATCCATTTCCCTGCAAATGGCATTATTTTGTCCTTTCTAATGGCTGCATAATATTCCATTGTAGATAGGTACCACAATTTTTGGATGCACTCATCAGTAGTGAGGCATCTGGGTTGTTTAATGTTCTTTTTCTTACTCACTTGCCACATCTAATTCTTTTTTTGATTTTATCGAATCTATTCTAAAATATGAAGTCCTTTTGCCTTTTTCCTTCATTTCTGCTCCTGCCACCTTTATCCAAGACATCTTTCTGTTTCTCTTAGAGTTTCCCCAGTAACCTGCTAACTGATTTTTTTACTTCTGCTTTTTATCAAAGACTGTTTCTCTCTCCCACCACCAACAAATCTATTCTCAAGAGAATTCCAAGAACAAATCAGTTTATGTATTTTCATGTTGCTATTAAAATTCTCTAATTGCTTCCAGTTGTAATTGGAATACAATGCAAATTTCTTAGCAATGCTTATAAAACTTTGTGTGATCTGACTCTTTTTTATTAATAAATTTTTTCATTATGAAAATACCGTACAGAGGGGTTACAATTACATGAGCAAGGTAATAAAGTACATTTCTTATCAAGCATTGTTGCCTCCTCCTTTGTTTCCCCTTACCCTCCCTGCTCTCCCAGATCCCCCCCTTTCGCCGCCAAAGTTGTAAAGTTCGTTTTTTGACATAACATCTTGTACATCTCATTGTTGCAATGGGTCTACCTGTATCCCTATTTAAACCATTGTTTTTTCCCTTCCCCTCCACAAATTATACCAACATCAAATACAATGAAAGGGGGGAGGGACATACAAAGCAACAAAGTAATCATAAATATGTTAGAAACAATAGCAAGAAAGAAAAACCATTTGAGTCCTTATCTTGGGGTTCATTTTACCTAACATCAACTTATCTGATTGTTTTTGCTTGTCTCAGACTTATACTAGTTATTGCAAATAAGGGAAACCATGGGACCTATGTTTCTTTGGGCCTGGCTTACTTCACTTAATATAATTTTTTCCAAGACTTTCCATACCCTAACAAATGGGCAATGTCATTCTTTCTGATGGAGGCATAGAATTCCATTGTGTATATATACCACATTTTCTTGATCCATTCATTTACTGAGAGGCAGCTGGGTTGGTTCCATATCTTAGCTATGGTAAACAATGCTGCAGTAAACATAGTTGTGCTGGTAGCTTTAGTATGGTCTTGTTTGTAATCATTTGGGTAAATGCCCAAAAGTGGGTGATCTGACTCTTGTTCCTTCTCCAAACTCATCTCCATTTCTTGTTTACTCTGCTTGGGCACACATTGGTCATCTTCTTTTTCAATTCTGTAAGTTATTTTGTATTTGCAAATTTTTACATTTGGTATCTTCTTTCTGAAATTCTTCTTTATTTCCTTTCCGTGGACTTCCAGCTGCTACTCTTCCTTTATGGTTAGCACATATACTGCTTTAAAAAAAAAAAAAAAAGAAAGATCTCCTAGCCAGACACCACTAGCTTACGCCTGTAATCCTAACTACTCAGGAGGCTGGGCTTTGAGGATTGTGGGTCAAAGTCATCCAGGCAGACAAATCTGAGAAGCTATTATCTCCACTCTAGCAAAAACTTGGAAGTGGAGGTGTGGCTCAAGTAATAGAAATGAAAAACTAATAGGCAAGAGTCTGAGGCCCTTAGTTCAAGCCCCAGTACCAGGACCAAAAACAAAAAAAAGATAATTTAAAAAATTTACTCTTTCTCATAGCATCTAGTCCTATTCCTTTATAGCCTTATCACATAATTATTATAAATTCATTTGTGTGTAGCTTGCTTTTCATTTATATCCATGATAGTTTAGTTTAAATTCCAAACTATATGGACCATAACTTTTTTTGTTAACCATTTATAATTAAGGCCTACCTTGGTACATAGAAGACAAATAGTATATTTCAAATGACTGTACAGACACATAAACATACACATTTCATATAAATATAGTAATAGAGTTACAGGAAAGTTCAGATGACAGAGTAAATTTTATATGGTGATATCTAAACAGAATTTTGAAATACTTCATGAGACAAGAATTTCAGGGGTTGGTAATAGCCACATATAAAAGCATTGAAATGTGAAATGACATAGTGTATCTGGTGAATTGTTAGCAGCCTTGTGTTAATTGTAAAATGGGAGGATAAAACAGCTGGAAGATCTTCTATGGTGTGTTCACAACTGTGGATGAGGTAGCCTGTTCAGTAAGTGGATAATACACTGAGTAAGGATAAAGTCAGGCTTGATTTTTTTTTTTTTTTTGGTCAGTTGTGGAGCTTGAACTCTGGGCTTGGGCTCTATCTTCAGCTCAAGGTGAGCGCTCTACCTCTTGAGCCACAGCACCACTTCCGGTTTTCTGGTGGTTAATTGGATATAAGAGTCTCACAGACTTTTCTGCCTAGGCTGGCTTTGAACAGTGATCCTCAGATCTCAGCCTCCTCAGTAGCTAGGATTACAGGCATGAGCCACCAGTGACCAGCTGATTTTTTTATTTTTATTTTTTGTGTGCTAGTGGTTTGTGAAGGGTAAACCTCAAGAAGATAGAACATGATGAGAAATAGGCTGCCAATTTGTGTTAGTGCTTAATCAGGATGCAAATTACAATAGCCTGAGGAATTTTGTCAGAGTTTACATGGCTAGACCTTAAAACTACAATAAGTAAAAAATCTCTGGTCCTCAATATGGTCTTTAATAATTGTTATAGTGTTGTTGAGAGATGCTGACAATATGAACTAATCAAGTAGTGGTGGGAATATAGGAACCAAAATAAGATTAATAAGTATTTGATGAATATGTTTATGGATTATTAGTCTTATAACATTTATGGAAGCAAATAGTAAGCATTAAGATTGATACATGAAAAATAAATTGTGCATGAAAATAGATGTGACTGTCTGAAGAGGCCAAGAATGGATGGCAAGGTGTTCAGCAGTAAGAACACTAGCACTTAAGCACTGGGTAGAAGTTAGTTTTTTAGAAGAAGACTATAGTTATGGAGCCTAATGTTAAAAGCCATGAAAACCAAAGGAGGCTACTGAGTTTCAGGAAAGAGCTGCTTCAGGGAAGTCTCATTTCATAGAACAAATGAGAAAGGTCTTTTGGTTTTTAGCAGATGAACAGATACAAAAGCCACATGGAAATATGTTTGAAGAGTGTAGTATAGATATCATATTAGAGAGTCTTTTCTGAGAACACTGAGCATGGTTTTTTGGTTGTTGTTTATTTTTTTGTTGTCCATTGTTTTGTGGGTCATGGAGCTTGAACTTAGGGCCTACGCACTGTCCTTGAGCTCTTTTTGTTTAAGGCTAGTGGTCTACCACCTCAAGCCACAGCTCCACTTCTGTTTTCTGGTAATTAATTGGAGATTAGAGACTCACAGGTTGGCTTTGAATGATGACCCTTAGATCTCAGCCTCCTGAAAAGCTAGAATGACTGGTATGAGCCATCAGCACCCGGCCTGAATATGTTTTGCTAGGTAGATCTCGTCAGTTCTAAACAGTGTTGTACAGTTCTTTTCATCCTTAAGCAATGTCTGAAATGTAATACTCTCCAAAAACTGGAATACTAGTTTTTACTATACACCACACACACAGATGTTACTGTTACCATGCTTGTTATAGAATGAGCCAGGTGCCAGTGGCTCACACCTGTAACCCTAGCTACTCAGGAGGCTGAGATCAGAAGATCGTGGTTCAAAGCTAGCCCAAGCAGGAGACTCCATGAGATTCTGATCTCCAATAAACTACTCAAAAAAAGCTGGAAGTGGCATTGTGGCTCAAATGGTAGAGCATTCTCCTTGAACACAAAGAAGCTCAAAGATAGCACCCAGGCCCAGAGTTCAAGCCCCTGGACCAGAAAAAAAAATATGGAATGAAAGAGATTTTAAGAGATTAATTTAATCTTTTTCTTTAACGATGGTAACTTTTAAGGTATCTAGGACTTTGATATCCTTTCTTCTTGTAGATCTTTGAAAGAAAATCTCTTTACCTGAGTTACTAAATACCTATTGTCTTTATTTGAAAGTGTCTTATGCCAGCTATTTCTCCATATTATATGAAAATATATTATGCCACAATAACGTCATCTATTTGGCCAATTAATGTTATATTAACATATTTCAGTTTATTAGTTAATGTATCAGTTCTATAATTATAAACTTACTGATTACAAGCTTGCTGAGCTGAGATTTTACCACTTGAGCCATGCCTCCAAACCAGCTTTTGGCTTTTTTTTTGAAATGGAGTCTCACATAGACTTTTCTGCAAACAGTTGGCTTTAATTTCATCTTCCTGAATAGCTTGAATGACAGACATGAACCACCTGCATAAGCAATAAGGTCAAACTCCTGATCCTCAGACTTTTGAGCACTGAGATTTACATGCATACACAGTCATACCTGGCTGTTAATAAGGCCTTATTTCAGTGAACTTTTAAAAGATAACTAGAAGACAGTGTATTAGAAGATGTGTTTAATATGTTTCTCTCCTTCTTCCCTTAATCGATTAATGCTCCTTTTTTTCCCCTGTAGGACTGTTATGAATACTATCCAGCAGTTAATGATGATTTTAAATTCAGCAAATGATCAACCATCTGAAAATCTGATTGCCTATTTCAATGTAAGCCATATATTAAACATTATTTTTCATGATACTTTGGCAAAGAAATTTGAAATTAGAAGTTAAAATACTATTTTAAAGCACTTACCTCTTGCTTAATATATCTTTCATGCTTTCTTAACCCCCTAAATTAGAATTATTGGTGATACAATTTTATTTTCAGATTATCTTACATCTGTCATTTTCCTTGCACATCATTCTTTTTTGCAAGTTATATGTTATTTTTGATATAATTTTCTTCCTTCAGATTTTTTAAAAATTCTTTTAGTAAGATTAGTTTAGGATAATATTATACTTTTTTAACTTAGAAATGACTTTATCTCTATTTTGTGAGAGGTGGTTTAGCTGGATCTTCAGCTCTCGTTTGAGGTTTACTTTGAGAAGTTTAAAATATTGCTTTATTATTCTGTTGATATCATTTCACTATTTTTTGGTTCCTATTGTTGCTAAATTTAAGAAGTCTTGTGTCAGTGTAGTGTTTTTTTTTTATAGCTACTCTATCTCTTCTCTTTGGTTACATTTAAGATATATTCTTTAAAGGTAATGTCAGATAGGACTGAATACTCATCATAGTATTGTACTCTTCTTTTTTATTCTTTAACTTTCTTTCTTTTTTTTTTTTTGAGGGCTGTGGGGCTTGAACTCTAGGCCTGAACACTGTCCCTCAGCTCTTCAGCTCAAGGTTAGCACTCTACCACTTAAGCCACAGTGCCATTTCCAGCCTTTTCTGTTTATGAGGAATTGAACCCAGGGCTTCATTCATGATGGGCAAGCCTCTACTGCTGAGCCACCTTCCCAGCCCCTCTAAGTCACTTTCATTTACAATTCTTACCTGGTGCTGTATGAATTTCAATTTGCAATCCCTAATAGACTTCCAGTTTGGCATTTGAGAGAGCCCCTGATAACCTTTCTTCTAAAAAAGGGAGAGAGAGAAAAAACAAAAACCCTAGCACCCATATTAACAGACTTACTCCCTCCTTACTTAACCTAAATGAGTAAAGGTTAGGACTCAGTGAAATGCTTATCTATACAAGGCCAGAACACTTTTTAAAATTTGGCTTATTCTAGTAATTATGTGCTTTCTACAGTGGTTAACAACTCCTACTACTATAAGATGCTTATGATTTAGTCATATGCTGTTGTCATCTCTTGCCTTGTTCTGCAGGAATAGTGAAGTAATTTCTTTCATCATATTCATAATTGTGTTGGCTTAGAACTAATTTTGCTTGTCCAACTGGTATTAAGTTGCTTTTGTCTATGAGTTATCTGTAGGACAAGAATATTTGCCATAACATACCTATCCAATTGCCTGAACTGTTAGCAAGGATAATGATAGAAGTTAAAAGAAGGATAATCTCTTCTCAAATATTATTTTGAGTATTTTTCCAGTGTTGCACAAAATAGGAGCTTTTGTTTTCATTTTAATTTCTTTAGTTAGGCAGAAAATTCTGCCTGAAAGACATTCTGTCTAGTTCAATTTAAAGCTTAACTTTTAAAATGAAGCTTTATAGCTTAACTGCAGTTTCATGTAGATGACAGATTGTCTCAGAGTAAGTATGTCTTAGAGATCATTACATTTTTCCTTGATTTCACTTCTTCATTAGTTCAAGTTCCTTTTTTTTTTTTTTTTTTTTGGTGCCTGTCCTGTGGCTTGAATTTAGGGCCTGAATGTTGTCCCTGAGCTTTTTTACTCAGTTCTAGTGCTTTACTGCTTGAGCCATAGCTCCACTTCTGGTGGTTTTTTTTTTTTTTTTTTTTCCTTGCTTGTTGGTTGGTTTGGTAAGTAATTGGAGCTAAGAGTTTCATGGACTTTCATGTCCTAGCTGTCTTTGAACTTCCATACTCAGATCTTAGTCTCCTGAGTAGCTAGGATTACAGGTGTGAGCCACCAGTCAGTCATCTTCCCTATTTGTAAAATCTTAGAAGCTACATATGTTTTAATGAACATTTTGACAACAATGATATTGTGACGGGAAATATTTGTCACATATTTCTAAGATATATGTGTTGTTTTCTTTCAGGGATAGAATTACAGATCTCTTAAAATGTGAATTTTTTTCCAGTTCTAGGATTTGAACTCATGGTCTTATACTTGCTTGGCTTGCTTGCTTGGCTGGTCCTCTACTATTTGAGCCATGCCTCCAGCCTATTCTTTTGCTGTCTATTTTGGAGATGGAAGTTGTGGACTTTTATGCCCATGCTGGTTTTGAAGTGGGATCTGCTTGATCTCAGTTTCCTGAGTATCTTAAGATTATAGTCATGAACCACCAATGACCAGCAGAATGTGAATTTTTTGAGTGATACTATATATATTACAAAGAATTATAATCAGATTTAATTTTGAAAAGTTTATTTTCATCTATGGAATACTTTGGGCACATCTTATCTATAAAGATTATAAAAAATAAGATCAATCTTTGATCAAGGTGTTAAGATATGTGTCTGATATATTTTAATGAGTTATAGGATATAATACATCATATTACTTATTGTAATATAATATCCAGTAAATTGTTTTAATGATTAAAGTTGATGTTGTCTCACCAAATGATAAAGTATTAAGACTTTCTTTTATGCCCATTTCCCCATCTGATACTTGTGAAAACATAGTTAAATGATTTGACTAATTTTTAACTCATTTAAAGCCTAACTGTGAATTGGGAAGTGATACCAAGTTCACATCTTTGTTTTGTTTTTTTCATTTGCTTTTGGGGGAAGGTAACATATATTTTAATAAACATCTTAGATGAGGAATCATGATGGGTTAAAGGAGTTAAGAAATCTGCTCAGAAGTGACGCTGTGGCTCAAGTGGTAGAGCACTCATCTTGAGCTAAAGAGCTGAGGGACAGTGCTCAGGCCCAGAGTTCAAGCCCCACGACTGACAAAAAAAAAAGAAATCAGTTCTTCCCTAGCCTAGGAACAGAAAATTTAAGTAATTTCTTTTAATAGTGTGGGTTTTTTTTATTTTTTATTTTTGGCCACTACATTCAATGGAATTCTGTTGTCTGAATATAATCTGTAGTCTTGTTTGCTTAGTTATTGTGAAAGTGTTCTTGTAGATAATTGAAATTATCTACTATGTAATAGAAAATTTAATTTCTATTGAACAGTTTTAATGAACAATCTCCTCAATATTGATTTCTCTATACATCTCTTAAAGAACTGCACAGTAAATCCAAGAGAAAATATACTGAAAAGAGTACAGAATATTGGACACATCTTTAAAGAGAAATTTGCAAAAGCCGTGGGACAAGGATGTGCTGAAATTGGGTCACAGGTAACTGAGTTAATTTCTACAATGTAGAAGTTTTAAAGGCAGTATTTAGCAATACTGTACACTACTGTAATATTTATTTGTCCAGTCCTATAAAATTCTGGTAGATAGGATAGCTATTTATGGGAAACTTCAAGGCAAACCATACCCTACCTCATTATAAAAATACAAAAGTGCATATATCTATTGTAGAAGATATACAAGGTGCAAATAAGAAAAATAATTAAAATTTCATACTATTAAAATTTTGGTGTATATATATATGAATATTCATATATACATAATGCTAATGGGTTTATATTAGCATACCATTTTCAGTGTTTATATGTATATGTAACTCAAAAATTTTATTACTCTTTCAACTGATAAACACTAGTTAGTTAAAACCTAGTGCTAATAAATTTGTTTGTCTGATTTTTGCCTGTTTTGTTAAGTTTTGTGTACAGAGATTGTTTTCTTAAGCCTACATGACTTGTTTTAAAACAAATGTTCTAGGTTACAAGTATTACACTAGGTATGTAAAGGATTTAAAATAGTGCTGGGTACATTACCTGCACTTAGTATAAATGATGCAGATTGAAATGGATTGAAGGGAAGTCAGGTAGTTAACCTATTCTCATAATAATTTCCTGTAAATGTTTACCATCAGTTATATTTAAGTCTTGAGTTTTAGATAGCTTTTGTGATTTTTAAATTTAATTATTTTTTATTTTTTGGTGCCAGTCCTGGAGCTTTTTTTTTTTTTTGGTCGGTCGTGAGTCTTGAACTCTGGGCCTGGGCGCTGTCCCTCAGCTCTTCAGCTCAAGGTGAGCGCTCTACCACTTGAGCTACAGCGCCACTTCCGGTTTTTCTGGTGGTTTATTGGAGATAGGAGTCTCACGGTCTCTCCTGCTCAGGCTGGCTTTGAACCGCGATCCTCAGATCTCAGCCTCCTGAGTAGCTAGGATTACAGGCGTGAGCCACCAGCGCCCGGCTTCCTGGAGCTTTTTTGTTCACAGCTAGTGCTCTACCATTTGAGCCATGGCTCCACTTACTGCTTTTTGGTGCTTTATTGGAGATAAGAATTCACAGACTTTTCTGCCTGGGCTGGCTTTGAACCAAGATACTCAGATCTCAGCCTCCTGAGATAACAGGCATGAGCCACTGGCACCTTGCTACTTTTGTGGTCCTTTGATAGCTCATATTTCCAAGAAGGTTCTGAAATACATTTCAAGAAAATACTTACTAAAAAGTAATTTTGTAATTTTCTAAAATATTAAGATCTTATTTTTCTTTTCCTTTGTAGAGATATAAACTTGGAGTCCGATTGTATTACCGAGTGATGGAATCTATGCTTAAATCAGTAAGTTAAAAAATATATATAGGGCTGGGAAGGTGGCTTAGTGGTAGAGTGTTTGCCTTGCATGCATGAGGCCCTGGATTTGATTCCTCAGCACCACATAAGCAGAAGGAAAAAAAAGCCGGAAGTGGCACTGTGGCTCAAGTGGTAGAGCGCTAGCCTTGAGCTGAAGAGCTGAGGGACAGCGCCCAGGCCCAGACAGGCCCCACGACCGGACCCAAAATAAAAAAAATATATATCTATCTATCTATCTCTCTCTCTATATATATAGGACATCAAGCTTACTACTGGCACAAATATCTTTAAAAATGTTTATTGTTATTCTAAAGGTGATGTACAGAGGAGTTATAGTTATATAAGTCAGGTAAAGAGTACATTTTTTTTTTTGGACAATGTCACTCACAAATAAGATTTTATTAAACTTTAAAAAAAATTTGTTTCAGGAAGAAGAACGGCTATCCATTCAAAATTTTAGGTAATTTTTAAAAATTTTGTACAAACAAGTTCTTCTTTGTATAAAAGTAAATATTTTAAAGTCATTCTTTTTCTTCCTTTAGCAAACTCCTGAATGACAATATCTTTCATATGTCTTTATTGGCGTGTGCTCTTGAAGTTGTAATGGCTACATATAGCAGTAAGTTAAATTTTAGTAAATAAACATTTTAGTTTAAAGTTAACAAAAACCCTATGGTGTGTTGTGGTTGTTTTTATTATTTTTTTGGTTTGGTTTGGTTTTGGTTGTCATGAAGATATTTAAGAGGCTTAATATCTTAATTTTTCCAGTCATTTTTGGGGGTATTATAGTAGTAGATTCTCATTGTGAACATATTGAATCCATGAAAGGTAGTTGTTGGAACTTAAGGATCTATGAGTTTGTAAAGTACCAGAAGAGCATTAAAGAGCAGCCAGTATTGAAAACACCAATATAAACTGTGCTTATGAGACCAACAGTTGAAATAGAATTCACCAGAGCCTGAATGTTTTCTTATTTGGTCTATGATTTTATACCAACTAAGATGAAAATTTAATAATTTCTGATAAATACCTATTGAGAGAGAGAGAGTCAGTCAGTTCTGGGGCTTGAACTCAGGGCCTGTGTGCTGTCTTACTTCTGGCTTTTTGGAGCTTAATTGAAGATAAGAGTCTCAGGAATTTTCATGCCCGGGCTGGCTTCAAACTCCAGTCCTCAAGGATCTTAGCTATCCTAAATAGCTAGGGTTACAGGTGTGAGCCACTGGCACCAGGCATAAAAAATAATTTTAAGTACAGGTTATTTTGTAAATAATGTCACAGATGTTAAAGTTTTACATGCAGAAACAAAAGGACAATAAAAGAGAAACTCTGAACATATTACAGAATCATTTTAAACACTAAACATTTTAAAGAGATGAAATTAGCAATATTTTAAAAAATCATTCCCTCTTTGCACCACAGATTAGTGAAAGTTAAGTGAATATGCTAATGCATTTCTGGTAAGATGTTAAATTTGTCTCTGAAAAAAGTTTGGAGTGTTTTAAACTTTTGCAAATTTGACATTAACTCTGAGCTCTTTTTCTTAGAAAAACATACATGTAAATATACTTAAAATTAAGAAGCCTATTTCATTCAAGTCTGTATATTCTAGAATAAAATATTCTACTATAAATAAAGGTTGTTGAATCTTCCTGCTATATGTACCATCTTTTCTTTGTGAAAACCTTCCAAATAAAATATTTAGGCCTTAACATTTCACCTACACATTTTTTTCTTTTATTTTTTAGGAAGTACATCTCAGAATCTTGATTCTGGAACAGATTTATCCTTCCCATGGATTCTGAATGTACTTGAATTAAAAGCCTTTGATTTTTACAAAGTGATTGAAAGTTTTATCAAAGCAGAAGCTAATTTGACAAGAGAAATGATTAAACATTTAGAACGATGTGAACATCGAATCATGGAATCTCTGGCATGGCTTTCGGTAAGTAACTAGCTAAAATAATTAAAGATACTTATTAGCATATAGCTAATAAATAATCTGATAGTGAGAATTTTGCCTTAAGAGCAAACATTCGATTTAATGAATAATGCATTATTCAGTGTACAGACTAACAATTAAGTGGGATATTAGAATAGACATTTATTAGTACTCCCCAGATCATCTGGTACAGTGATTTGAGAATAGCTTTCCTTAAAACATAGCATTTTAAAGTAAAGCAAAAGACTTTAAAGTGTTTAGGTAGTTTATTTCAAATACAGTTGTTATAATGTAAATGTTTTTAAATTTCAACAAAATTAACAATTTGAGATTATGCTATTTAGGTGATTAAAATTACACTTTCTAATCATTTAGTGGGATTCATTTTTGTTCCATTATTTAAGCTAACATAAAACTACACTATTGTCTATTATAGGCACTGTTTAAAACATGATAAGGGCATAAATCTTGTTCTCTAGGCATTCTGTTCATAGCACATAGCTAGTGATAATGCCTTTGACTTAAATGCAGCATTTCCTATATACCAATTGTAAATTACTACAATAATATTTGCGGTTTTTTTGTTTATGATAGGATGGTGTGAGACCGATAGGCCCCAGAATTGAAATTCTAAGTGTACTTTCTAGGAGATGAAACAATAGAGAACATCTATATGATCATATATTATTAATGTTTGAATATATTACTTTTTTCATGCCAAAAACCTAGAGTAGTAGTGGGTAACTATGTGAAGATAACTCCTTCCTCACAAACAGAATGGACACTCTGTATTTTTCCCATGAAAACAATGGGCTTTATAGAGAAGGGATATGACATGCATATGTGTGTGTAATACAAACATATACACACATACAAAGTATTTATTTTAAATGATAGTTGAAAGTTTTCATAAATTAAGCCCATCTGTGCAACTAACTCTGAGGACAGTCTTTAGGTTCTATATCACAGTAGACATTTCTCATTAACTTCAGAGATTGATGGGTACATTGTCTAATATTGGTTAGGAAACATCAAATCAGTTACCATTGCCAATATTTTTGGGGGATGCTGGGAATTGAGCACATAGATCGCCAAGTCTCTACCACTGAACTAAATAATTCCCATTCTTGACTCCTATAATTCAATGAAATAATGAATATCATTGTAGTTTGAATGATCTTCTGGGGAAACAGGTTCAGCATCTTTGCTTGACAGTCTTGAGAAACACAAATTCAGGGAGATTAGCAAACAGTTTGTAAGTGTATGATGTTGGGATGATCTATTGATAAATCTAGTAAATACATTCTCTGGAAATTTGAGAATTCATCACACTTAAAGGTTGGGTTAAGTGGCTTCCAGGTATTTGGGCCTATTAACTCTATTAAGAAGTTCATAATGGGGGCTGGGAAGGTCGCTCAGTGGTAGAGTGCTTGCTTGCATGCATAAGGCCCTGGGTTCAATTCTTCAGCACCACATAAGCAGAAAAAACTGGAAGTGGCGCTATGTCTTAAGTGATAGAGCACTAGCCTTAAGCTGAAGAGCTGAGGGACAGTGCCCAGGCTTTGTGTTCAGGCCCCATGACTGACCAAAAAAAAAAAAAGTAGTTCATAATGCTAGTAGGTGATAAGATGAGATTTATATATACTGATTTCTGTAATTTGTAAATACCATGTTTTTTTCCAGTAAATCTTTACAGACATTAGGTGTTTATTCTCCAGTTTGTCTCTCTTCCCAGCAGTATTATTTACTTTTTATAATATCCCATTTACTACCTTTTGACCATTTTTCTCACTGAAGCCAGATTTTATGCAGATCTTATGCTAATTCCCCAGATAGATATGTTCTGCTGTTGTATTCCCCTAGTGATCTGGGAAGGATACCCTTCATGACATGACTCTATACCAAAAAAAAAAAAAAAAAAAAATGGCCACTATACAACCTGCACAGCATATAGAAAACAATGGCCTGAAATTATTGGCGGGAAAGAACAGGCATAAATGAAAAGACAGAGGAAAGCTCTCAGCCTGTGGAGGAGTCTCTGAGTAAGAATGGGAAAGACAGTGATGTCAGGATTCCAGTGGGAACTCTGGGTTTTCTGATAAGGGAAAGTAGAGATATCTGCAAGTGAGGAATCCTTGGCCATTGAAGAAAATGGAAGAATCTTGCAAGGGAAAGAACCAGAGAATGTATGCCCAAATTCTGAGGACCCCCATCTCTGACTGAAACCTGAATCATTCCTGTACGTAACTACTCTGAGTAGCTTAATGAAAGATAAAAGGTCTGAATTGTGACTGGAGTTGCTGCCCAGTAAATGGGAATGTACAGTTCAAGTTTAGCAATGACAGACAGGTGCCTGATAACATAGACACACAATCACTCAATCAATATTCAAGAATAAGAAAAGAATCCAGAATCTTCATGATATAAAATGATGTCAAAATGTAATTATAAAATTACTTATCATACAGAAAAATCAAACACGTTTTGAGAGCTTTAACTATTTGATGGCTCAAATGTTCTTTTTAAAAAGCTTTGTGCTTTTTCTATGTCAGCAGTTCAGAGTGTGGGATAAGTTTCCTTGGTGGTACTTGAAACTACTTCAGGGAATCTGTACATTACTGATAAGATGTAATTTAGCTTTTCGTAGTCTGCTGATATTTAAACAGATGATCTAAAGCTATTAACACCTTTGCATGAATTAAAGCAGTGGTAAAAAACTGGCTAATAGTGTTGGATTCTTAAGCACTGCACACTTAGTTTTTAAAAAAGTATCAGTTTCACTTAAGATATTTTTGTTGGAAAATATTGATTTGATTAAATTCTCCCTCCCTCTTTATTTTCTCTCTCTCTTTCCTCCCTTTCACCTTCCTTCTTCCCTTTTCCCTTCCCCTTCCCCATTCCCTTTCTCTGTCCTCCCTCCCTCCCTCCCTCCTTTCCTTCTTCCCCCCTTCCTCCCTCCCCTCTTTCCTTCCTTCCTTCCTTCCATCTACTATATTTTTAATCTTTAATTTTTTACATCCTTGTGTACTAATTCTAAGGTCTAGTTCCTTTTATGTCTGTTTCTGTTAACTTCTATTTGTTTTCCTTTTTCTTTTTTTTTTTTTCGATACCCATACTGGAGTTGAATTCAAGGCCTCACATTGTTGCTTAGCTTTTTCTGCTCATGGCTGGCATTCTACTAACAGCTTGTTCTTCCTTCCTTCCTTATTTCTTGGTGCTAGTACTGAGGCTTGAGCTCAGGGCTGGGGCTCTGTCTCTGAATGGCTTTACTTAAAGCTAGTTCTCTATGACTTGAGTCACAGTTCCACTTCTGTCTTTTTGGTCATTAATTGGAGATTAGAACCTCATGAATTTTCCTGCCTGGACTGGCTTCAAACTGAGATCCACAGATCTCAGTCTTCTGAGTAGCTTGGATTACAGGCGTGAGCCACCAGTGCCTGGCAAATCTCCACTCTTGAATATATGTTTTTAAAACATTCAATTGTGAAACTGAAGGATATGTAAAGGTACATACCACAGAATTCTTAGTTGTCTTGAGGACAGTTGTTGGTTGAGTTGAGACTGAACTAGTTGGTGTTTTTATAAAAACACACATATTGTACTTATGAGATGGATAAGCAATTGTGTACATTTTCCTGATAAATAAAACAAGCTTCAACAAAAACTTGACAATGAAAGTTACCAATGATAGACTATATCTTCAAGTGAAAACTAGAATTTTGGGAAGCCTTGTTCATCACTGTTACCTTAACGTCTTTCCAATACATGAAAAACTTTTCTGATAATATTAATGCTGATATCAGTGAATATGATTTTTATATGTATATTTTTTAACATTTGAGAAATCTTCATAATTCAGGGAATTAATATTACAAATGATTAATGCATCGTTATAAAGGTATAAGAGGTTCATTAAAAGTATGATATACTAATTGTAAGTTCTTAGACTGAAAAGTTTCTGTTCACTGATACTGATTCAACAGTGCATCTAATCTTCAAGTACCACTTGTTGAATTTGATGTAGTGTCAAGGAAGAAAGACCAAAATTACCTAAAAAGTCTTTAGAAGTCTCTTTTTATCCCTCTAAGGGGGAAAGTGTACACTTTTTTCTGTATATTTCAAAACAACATACTGAAAGAAAGTAAATATAAAAGCAGATGTAAGACTCCAGATCTTTTGCTAAATCAGATAATAAAGGCATTAGAAAGATTACCATGCCACTCTTCTGTTGTCATTGTTTAGAATGTTTTTTAAAATCAAAATACTAATTTAACCTATAATTGTTTAAAATAAATCACCTATTTTAATAAGATTTTGGTTTTAATTAAATTTTAATTCAAATAAAGCAATACCAATATAGTAAATATACACACACACACACATACACACACACACATACACACACACACACACACACACACACACACACACACAGAGCCTTTTTGGATCCTCAGTAATTTAAGAATGTAAAAGGGATTTTGTTTTTGTCAGTAATGGGGCTTGAACTCTGGGCCTGAGTGTTGTCCCTTAGCTCTTCAGCACAAGGCTAGTGCTCTGCCACTTGAGTCACAGCACCACTTCCTATTTTCTGGTTGTTTCTTGGAGATAAGAAATAAGAATCTCAGGGACTTTCCTGCCGGGCTGGCTTTGAACCTCGATCCTCAGATCTCAGCCTCCTGAGTAGCTAGGATTACAGACGTGAGCCACTAGCGCCTGGCAGAATATAAAAGGTTTATAAGCTCTCTTTCTTGTTTAACTACCACTCAGGACAAGCAGGTTTGTTTCTGCCTGTCCTCAAGGAAATACTTTTCCCTGCCTTTTTGTTTACCACATTTTAAAGTTTCCTTTTGCTTTTTCCTCTTTTCTTATACTAGGCTGTAATCATCCTTCCTTCCTTTTCACTCATTTTTTGTTCATTAGCCATGCCATGTATTAGTCATGTTATAAGCCTTATGTATTATTACATATGCACACCTTTTGTTAAGTGGTTTAATGTATGACAA